TTCCCTCCACTTCCCTCCCTCCCTCCCTCCCTCCCTCCCGCCTCCTCCCTCCCTCCTCCTCGCCCTTCCCTCCACTTTCCCTCCTCCTCCCTCCCCTCCCCCTCCCCTCCCTCCCCTCCCTCCTCTCGCCCTTCCCTCACTCTCCCTCCCTCCCCTCGCTCTGACTCCATGATCTCTTGCTCCCACACTCTTGACCTGGATAGAACACTTGGACCTCTCTCCCATCCTCAGACTCCATCACAGCTGCTTCCTGCCGCGAGCAGATTCAGAGCCTGAGAGCTTCCACACACGCAGCCACCTGCTGCATCATCGCATCTTCATCTTCATTCCCATCGCCGTCCCAGTCGTCAGCTCGTTCAACTGCAGGTGTCAATCGATCTGTCAAGGGATACTGAAGGAGGATGGAAGAAACGAGACGATCGCAGGCTCAATTAGTTTCCTCACCAACGTCGCTCACTCCATTTCTTTGCCTCTCTGCAGCACAACAAGTTCGTTCACACCCGAGAGATCAGCACGCCTGTCAATCACCTCTGCCCGCTGCATTGCAACAGTCCTCCGCTCGCCTGCAAGAGTGTCATGAAATTTCACAACTGCAACGTCGAGCAACGCTTTGAAATCGTGCAAGAGAGGGCGTGACACCTCGTCAAGACAAGAAGAAAGAACAACTTTATCACAAGACATCACTGGAGGTCAGAGAGATCGTCTCGACATCGCAAGCACCATAATTCCCGCGCAACATACATCCTCCATCACCTCTGAGGAGACTCCGAAGGTCCCATTCCGTCCGCTGAGGGTAATTTCCGCCCTTCTCCTCCTCCTCCACCCACGCATACGGCGGGTTCGGCTTCGGAATCTGCAACAACATCCCACACCCTCCATCAGCACCGCAGGCATCGTCAGTTCAGCTGCCCGCACCGCTTTCACGTCTCGCAGGGTGTTAGCCCTGCACAGCTGCGACAGCATCTCGTGCTGACGACGAGGCCTGCGATCTCCTTCTGCAGTGAGCAGCACAGCAGCAAGTCAGGGCTGGTCAGCAGGGAGACTGCATTGGACCAGGACGGTCGAAGTAGAAGGGAGTCTCGTTGAGCAAGTCGATGCCCTTCCTCGCCGCCAAGATCAGGTAGTCATCCTCGATGTGCCCCTTCACCGTCCACCTGCGACTTGCGGGTCAGGGGCCGAGGAGGAGGAGGAGGAGGAGGAGGACACGAGGAGCAGCAGAAGGATGAGAGGTTAGGAGCAGGAGCAGGAGCAGGAGAGGAGGAAGAGGAGGAGGAGGAGGAGGAGGAGGAGGAGGAGAAGAGGAGGAGGAGAGGAGGAGAGGAGGAGAGGAGGAGAGGAGGAGAGGAGGAGAGGAGGAGAGGAGGAGGAGGAGGAGGAGAGGAGGAGGATAGGAGGAGGAGATCGCCAACCTCCCGTCTTTCTTCTCCCAGCACACTCTCCCTTCGAACACATCCCTCCTCAACGCCTCGAACTGAAGGATCTGCGCGCATCTTTCCGCCAGCACTTGCCCATAGTTGACGTTCAGCTCCTTCTGCTTCCTCTCCGCCTCCGCTTTGATCAGCTCGCCCTGCACTATCGGGTAGATCCCCCTCCCATACACGAGGCGCCCTGGCTGCCCTCCCCTCCCCGCCACCCTCCTGTTCTCTGCCTCCATGGCGGCCTTAGTCTCCTGCGGCATGCCCATCTCCTCCCACTCGCAGTTCCATTCCCAAGGGTTCCCCTTGGTCCTGTCCCCTGGATACTCGCCAGCGAGCCCCTGCCTGCCCGGGTGGTTGTCCCTCCTCTTGCGCAGATCGCCCGGGGGGCCCCGGGGGCTCTGGAAGAAGTCGATACCAACTTTCCTCCCCTCATACTGCCTCGCGCCCTCCTGCTTGCCGCCATGCTGCACGAGCCTGTTCCGCTCCTCTACGACGCCCTTCTCCACCTTGAGGCCGTTCTTGAGCGCCTTGATTGCGTCCTTCGCTCTCTGAATGTCCACATCTTGGTTGTTGCGATTCATGCTCAATCCAGGGTATCAATGCAAGCTCTTGCTTTCATGCAGCCATGTCTCTGATGTACTGCCCCCCGCCCAGGACGATTGGATCACTGTGCTGAACAGAATGCTTCAAAATCATGAATCGATTTCACAGCGAGCTTGATGATTGCGATTGCAAAATGCTTGTAAGAAAACGCCATTCTTTCTACTTCTCAAAGTCAAGATTCGCTGGAAATTATTTCATTGTCCTCGTATCCTCCAAATACATGTCTCGCGTACTTCCTTCCTCTACATCTCCTTGTTCGTACATCTTCCCTTCGCCTCAATTTCCTCATCTGTAATTTCATGTCTCCTCCAATTCCTGTTCTCACTTCTCTTCCCCCCTCCTAGCCTCCTCCTGCAGGTTCATCTACTCTCCCT